TAACGCAACACAACAGACCAGAGTAGTGTGGAGCAGACAGGCCTTCTAATGCTCTTTCCTTTTTGTGTCTCAGCAGTGATGCATCCTGAGAGCCATGGTGCATTGCATGAAATGGCATCACCCAAACTGAACACACAGACACCTTTTCAAGCTTTTGTCTAGTCTTGTCAGCTGGATTTCACATGCTAAGTAGCGTAGGATGGTGGCATGGCTAACATTAGAAAAAAAAAAATTTTCATGCAAGCTAAAATACCTATTACATGTACACGACATATGAGAATTTAATCAGGTGTGTTTAAACCAAAGTGACAGAATACATAGGCTGAATCCATGGTGTTTCTATCATCACTGTACAGCTTGAGTTATAAAATCTTGGACTGGGACAGAACACTGTGCTGTAGCCAGTGCAGTAGGAAAGGATATTTTCTACATTTGTGACTGTATTGTATGTGAATGTTTGTGATTTTGTACTGTCATGAGCAAGCTAAGAGTCAAAATATAAGAAGAAATCTGTAAACACTTCTAATTGTTTCTTCAAAAAGACAAAAGCAGCAAGTCATCACACAAACAGTATCCAAACAGACTGATTGCTGTCTTGCAGAGGTGCTGATTACTTAAAAAATTCAGGTAATCAGTTTTGCCCAGTGTGGGCCAAGGCCAAGAGGCAAGGCGCAGTTGAGCTGATTCCACTAATGAGCATCCGAATTAGCATTGAAAAGATGCATCCCCATATCCCTGCCTCCTCCTGATACACATGCACACACCTTTTTTAAATGTTCTTGGCTAATCTTCTTTCTCTTTGCACTTGTGGCACTGACATTTTGACAGTGACCGTTTTACTCATTGGGCTGTCTGGTTTGCAGTTTATGCAATGTCTTTAATTACAAGTGTGGTAATGACTCCTGCTGTTTTCACAGTGAAGTACCTAGAGTTTTGTTTGGCTAACCGTTCATATGTATGGGATGACATCCAAACACCACCAAATTAAACCTCTCCTTCAGCTTGACCCTGCCACTCATGGCCTGCTGAATGAATCTGCTGTTTCCTGTATTTTTAGGCAAATCATAATTATGCAGCCAATTAGAGGGTCACCTTGAGTTTTACGAACTGCTTGAAAAAAACTCTCCTTCTTAAGACTGTGTGTGTGGTTTAGTGTGTGTGTGTGTCGTGAAGCTTTCATTAGTCTGTGGTAAGGTATGAGAGTTAATCTAAAGTTTGTAAAACAGTCTAAGTCCATTGTAGTACATGCATTCACAGACACAAATACACAGAAATCCATTTTTAAAAGCATAGGCCTATGTTAGTGGAACTATTCAGACATTACCACTGAAACAACACACACAAAGGCATACACTCTTTTATCATGATTTCCCTCCTGTGCAGTTTAATGTCACGGATAGATTCATCTTTGTGTGAAGGTTAAATTTAAAGTGTAGATAAAAGTTTATAGATGTGCATTATGCTTGCATATATGTGTGAGGCCTTGCAACTAATCTTCACATCCTAAAACAAGAAATGTGGGATTATGTTTTGCCTGCCAGTCTGGAATATTAATTTTGGATTCACTGGAAAAAAAAAACTGTTCACTTCCTTAAATTTACTGCAAGTATAGATTTGCTTATTTGTCTACTGTAATTCATGAAATCACTAATGCATGTGATCAGTAGACACTTGGAGAGGGACAGCGCTTTCATAATCTTCACACATAGATGACTTTGAGTTTCACACTTTGCTTGTACCACCATAATAGAGAAGGGCAGTGTGTTACAGGTGTGTAATCCCCCAAAACACACACACAGAAAGTCACAAACAAGGCTTCCACCATATAGGTGTGGCTAAAAGGGTTGGTATCCTTCCTCTTCTTCTTTTCTCTGAAATACATCAAAACTGACAAAGGTAATTGGCCTCCACTGTCTTCTATTCCATATTCATGGGACTTGCACTTATGACACAATAGAACAGGAAGCAGCAGGTGAGGCTGAGGAAAACCACATCCAGCACCCGAACAATAAGCACAGGCACCCCCCAGGGATGTGTGCTCTCCCCTCTGCTGTTTTCACTCTACACCAACGACTGCATCTCAAAGGACCCCTCTGTCAAGCTCCTAAAGTTTGCTGATACAGCGATCATTGGTCTCATCTGAGACGGTGACGAGTCAGCCTACAGACGGGAGGTTGATCAGCTGGTCCTGTGGTGTAGCTGCAACAACCTGGAGCTGAACATGCTCGAAACAGTGGAGATGACAGTGGACTTCAGAAAGAGCCCTCCCACCTTACCCCCCCTCACCATACTTGACAGCACTGTATCAGCAGTAAGTACAAGTTCCTGGGCTCCACTATCTCCCAGGACCTGAAGTGGATGTCCAACATCAGGACCATCATCAAGAAGGCACAGCAGAGGATGTACTTCCTGCACCAGCTCAGGACGTTTGACCTGCTCCAAGAGCTGCTGATACAGTTCTACAGAAGAATAATCGAGTCTGTGCTCTGGACCTCCATCACTGTCTGGTTTGGCTCAGCAACCAAACAGGACAAGTACAGACTTCAGGGGACAGTCAGGACTGCAGAAAAGGTCATTGGTGTAAGCCTGCCCTCCATAGTAGACCTGTACACCACACGGGCCAAAAGGAGGGTGGAGAGGATCACTGCAGACCCCTCACATCCCGGACACAATTTGTTTGAACTCCTCCCCTCTGGACGGCGTTACAGGTCACTGTGCACCAAGAAAACCAGGCACAGGGACAGTCTTGCCCCCAGGCCATCACTCTGAACATTTAAACAGTAGACCTGTACACCACACGGGCCAAAAGGAGGGTGGAGAGGATCACTGCAGACCCCTCACATCCCGGACACAATTTGTTTGAACTCCTCCCCTCTGGACGGCGTTACAGGTCACTGTGCACCAAGAAAACCAGGCACAGGGACAGTCTTGCCCCCAGGCCATCACTCTGAACATTTAAACAATGACAGTAAGACTGGACAATAACCCTCAGTGCAATACCTGTAAATATACCTCATACCGATCATAGAGATTCGTATAGGTCTTTGTTTTTAAGCACTCTATTTTTATTCCTACTTATCCCATTTCACAATGAGCATTCCTTGTCTGTCTGCATCAGTGACGTGCGGTGAGGTTGACAGCTGGTGAAGCACTTACTCTTTTACAGTCAGATTTACAAATACAAATGAACCGTTAAACTGTCTGTTAACAAACACTGCGTTATGTTTTATATCTCATATCAGCATTCTTTATACAAACGTGACCCATATTTAATTTGAGGTTAAAATTTATTCCAGTTGAGCTTATTTCTAACTAGAAATAATAAAAGTTTATGGTCTTACCTTTACTTGTACACGAAATCCATTTGTCAGCTGGTATGTATTACAAACCCTTTTACCATTCAAATCCAATATTAAAACAAATGTTCTCAATAAAGAAGATCCTTCTGGACAAAAATGTCCAGACTGTCAAAAATGTTTTGATTGAAAGTCCAGATTTGCGAATTTTCTCAGCTTGGAAATGTAATCTTCCATTTTGATAAGGCGGATTGTAAAGGAAATATAAACAAGCACGAAGAAGATTGTAGGTAGCGCAAGAATCTGTGGGCTCACTAGCGCTGAGGATTACACGATCCACCGAGAGGCACAGCAAAGTGCTGCCTCATCGCGCATCTCCTCCATGTATTTGAACGGGACATACAGAAATTCTACTATTCTTTATTGAAAAAAAATCCTTCAACATCGGATTAGAACGGCAAAAGGGCCTACAACACACACCAGCCGACAAATATTAACATTTATTATATTTTATGGTTAACTTTTTTTTTTCTTTTCAAGATTGACAGGGCAGGCTCCGCCTCACCTGCCTCCCCTGACCGCACATCACTGGTCTGCATTGTTTACTGCCTGTTCATACTGCTTATTTTGCATTGTTTGCACTGTTTGTTGCTGATAATACTGCTTATTTTGTTATATTACACAGCCCTATGCTGGCTTATTGTTTACTTGCCCCTTGCATGGGGATATGTACATACGCATTGAGAGCTGATGTACCAGAGTCAAATTCCTCGAGTGTCTGACACACCTGGCCAATAAAGCTGATACTGATTCTGATTCAGTTACTTTATATTTTTGGTGTAAAATGATGTTTTAGTTAATGCAACAAAATTGGCACAGGCAAAAATATTGGGCCCTTTAACTTAATGTTCTGTGGCACACCCTTTCTTTTCTCTTAATGAGACTTCACACTTGCCAACTCTTCTTGAGCAAACCAGTTCTCTCAGGTTTTAATGGGTGCCTTCTCCCAGCTGCAAGTTTCAACTCTTACTATAGATGTTCAGTTGGATTAGAATCAGAGACTCATAGCAGCAGACTTCAGGACAGCCAATTTTTTCACAAGTAAGTTGTGGATCATTATCCATTTGGAGGAGCCATGACCTGTGACTAAGACAGAGCTCTCTCACACTGACAAGTATGTTTCTGTCCAAAATGCCTTAATAATCAGATTTACTGCCCTACCCAGAGTCAAGATGCAGCAAAGCAACTCCATTCCATAATGGAGCCTTCTCCATGTGCTTTTTTTTATTTATTTAAAGCTTCATATTTTTTGCTTCTGTGAACATACTGATGAGACCAAAGAACTTTCATTTTGTTTCATCGATCCTATGAATATTCTCCCATATGCACTGTGGTTTAGCAAGCTCCAATCAGTTTCTGTGTTTATGTGTAGCTGCAGGCTTCTGTCTGTTGGCCATGTTCAGTGTGGTGCACACAATGATACCATACAGCACAATAAGAACTCTTCTCTAAATAGGCTAAAGGGCTGGTTATAAGAATGAGGAGACCTGTGATACTAACTGAAGACAACTGTCTGCTTGAAATATAACTACAATTCACTTTACCTTTATAGAATAAGCAACATTTCAGCAGTTGTACTGTATGTACTTGAAACACCCACAACCATATATTATTCTCTCACTTCATGTGTGTGTGCTTTATTAGGTGGCAGTTTATGACTATATGTGGAGAGCAGAGGACCCTTTTCCAAGCTCTGCAGCACCCAGTGATGACACCCCATTGCCCACATCGGAGGGCGAGACCAGTACACATGTGGCAATCTACAATCTGTATCTGAGTGGACAGAGACAAAGATACAGGCACTTCCTACGACAACCTGACGGAGCTATCATTGAGGTGGGACATCAGCCTGTTCTATACAGTGTGTCCATAAAAAAAACTTTTCCACAGTATACATGAATTCTGTCTTATGATTTTGGCAGTGGTTTCTGCTGTACTTTTAGAAGCAGTACTGTAGGTGAAACCAGAGTATTCAAATCAGTGTCACAGATGATCACAAACTTAAACATTTTATAGAATAATTAAAATGTTTAAATTTAGATGTAATTACATTACAACTGGATTTATAACACCAATGGAATAATATAATGAAAATTGAAGTACATTGTTGGTAGAGGCTGTCTTCAGACGAGAACAGCAGTCACAACCATTTATTAATATATAAAATGATTTTTTTATTCACATAAACTTCAACTGTACAGCCATTGCTTTTTCGTTTTAACAAAACACAAGGTGTTAGCGTGGTAAAATTATATACAGGTGTGTGTGTATGTGTGTACTTACGAGGGAAAG